CTATAACTTTCTCATAAAACAAATGAGGAAGGAAGAGGACTCCTTGTCTAGTGCCTCACAAAGTAAGGAGTAAACTTCTTCTGCTCATCTGTGGGCGACCAATAGTTCTTCTGGGAACCTAACATTCTCGTATCTTGGGCAAGTATGTACTTTTCCAGGATGCATGCGCCATCCGGGTAGGACCCAATTTAAGTGTTCTCCAGGAAACCTAACCATTTCTCTGGAAAATTCACCAGAAACTTAGCTTCGATTCGGCTAGACTCGTACTCCTCCAGGATACGAGGCAAGGTCAGGGTGAGCCTTATTCACCATTTCTCCAGAAACTCAGCTTTGCTTCAACTAGACCTGTACTCCTCCGGAGGCAGGTTTGGGGTAAGCCTTTTTCACCGTTTTTTTCTAGAAATGCCTTGCTTCGACTAGACATGTACTCCTCCGGGATACAAGGCAAGGTCAGGGTGAGCCTTACTCACCATTTCTTTAGAAACTCTATCTTTGTCTCAACTAGACCCGTACTCCTCTGGGATACGCGGTAAGGTCAGACGACCCGTTCCTAACACGACTTTGAATCAGCCAAAACCTTCAGGTATCAGACAATTCTTTGATTATTTTATAGGGAAGCTCTGACTCATTTCCAATTAATCAAGAAGTTGGGGGCAATTATTGGGCCCAATATTACCACAACTGATCCTGAGGCAACATGTGGCCAATGGTCCCCGCCAGAGCTAGCGCTGACCTTCTTCCACTTGGCCTGCCACCAACCTCCTAGCGGACTGTTCCCGGGAATGTGGTGTGCTTACCGAGTCATGCGTGCTGTACTTGGCCGCCTGCTCCTGCAGTGCGGCATATGGATGTGACAAGACGAGGGAGACAGGGTATACAAGAAGGCCTAAGGCCAAAGGAGAGAGGGAGGTTGGATCCTTGGATATCGGAGGAGCCACATTGGGGTGAATCCAAGAAAGAGAACAAGATGCATCCAAAGGAGGAGGAGGAGAAAACCTCTGACCTCCGCCTCGCCAGAGCTCACCATAAGCCCTGTGCTGCAGCAAGACTGAAGGGGAATGCTCACCGTTCCCTGGAGAAAATGCCTTCCGAGATAAGCTTCTTCCTTACTTCCCATTCCTTATTCTATATACGTGCAGAGAGAGTTCATACCTCACTTTCTTCAGGGTTTATTCCTTATGTTCCACTATCCACTAAACACATGACGGGTATCACGATCTTTGGACGGTATATCCAATCCTTAACCACCTCAAAATCTACCTTCCAGAGTACTTGTTCCCGGTAGGGCGTACATTGACTTGATCGCAAGAGGAAAACCCTTTTTCGGTCTACTCGAAGGCCCGACTCACTCGTTGGACAATGTATGCAAGACTCACTAGACTTCCGTCCCGGAGTCGCATATTGCTCATCCCCCCAGATGACGAAACTCGGAGACACAACTCTACACACCCAGACAATCATATACCCCCCATAAGCATCCCAAAATTTACTCCTAAACAATATGTATTTTAGGTATATTGAATTATATTTGTAAAATCTTATAATATGAAATTAATATATTTATAAATTATATTAGTTATTAATCATGTTATATTTAAAGATATTTAATTTACAGTTGCGAAATATATGATATAATATTATATGAAAAAATGATATATATTTATTTTATTTTTTAATTATTGTTATTGAATATATTATTGAGGAAAGTGATTAGTTGTTGTCCAAAATAGTGTTTGGCTACAAGAATAGTAGTAAAACAGAATTAAATATATAAGTAAATGCTGAGAAATTTTTTGGTGCTGACACATCAGAAAATTTAACCTCCAATATTTCTACTTTAATATATAGTTAAACTAGTTGGTGATTCGTGCTACACGCAGCTGTGTCAATGTAATACATTTGTTGTATCATATATTCTTGAAAAATTTAGGAAAGATTTTCATATCTCATATGTATCTGTCTCGAATGTTCCATCTTTTTTAAATTTTTAGTTGATGATTTGTGCTATATGTGGGTTTGATAATCATTTTATGTGTTTTTATATTGTATTTATTATATCATATAGCTCTAGATATTTTGTGATTTGTTTATTTTTCTTACCGTACCAATTTTGAATTTCTAGTCTTATCTCAATTTTGATCAAATATTATCCATTCGAGATTACTTGGTTTATTCAAACATATACAAAAAGAGAACATATATAATGTTAGATATCTGAATTACCCATTTATGAAATGAAAATTTAAAAATATATAAATTTTTTTAAAATTTCCACAACATTCCAGAATATTTCCAAAATATTTGTTTTGAAGTTGATTTTCCTCCAAATTATTGAGAGTTTGTGAATAGATTTTAGATAATGCAATTTTTCGAACCCATCTTATTACCCAAATTTCAGAACTCATCATTGAGTGCTTCCATAATGGTTTTTGGTTCTACGAAAGAGATGAAGCAGTTTAGTTTGACCATCTCTGTCAAGAAACAAGCTAATTTGACCATCTGCTTGAAAGTTTTTCCCTCTGGTTTGTCTCTCATCAAGAACTCCTCCAATCACATGATCTAGAGTGTGATTTTTTGGTACTATTACTCGATCTGAGTGTGAAAGATCAAAACTCTCATGCTGAACTTCAGTGTTTCCATGTTTGCTCACTTCAGTGTGTTCTATCTCAATGACAATTTTCGGAGATGATTCAGTCAAGTCCTAACCACTTTCTTCTAGTTGATAGCAGCTCTTGTCATCAAAAATAACATTCACAGATTCATGTATTATTTTGGTTCGGTGATTGTATACCCTGAAGGCCATACTATGGGTTGAGTATCCAAGGAATATGCCCATATCACTTATAGAGTCAAATTTTCCAAGCTGATCTTTCTCATTGAGTATATAGCAGACACATCCAAAGATGTGAAAATAACTCAAGTTTGGAGTCTTTCCTTTCCATACTTCGTATGGAGTCAGGTTGGTGCCAGACTTGACATAGACCCGGTTGATGATGTAGCAAGCTGTATTGATTGCTTCTGCCCAAAATTTAGTTGCTACTTTGTTCCCATGAAGCATTGCTCAAGCCATTTGTTGCAAGGTTCTGTTTCTTCTCTCCACTACACTATTCTGATGTGGAGTTCTTGGTGCTGAATATTGATGTCGTATCCATTGACTATTTCAGAACAAATCAAATGCAGCACTTTGGAACTCATCCTCATGATCACTTTTGATCTGAACAATGTCCCCTTTTTCAGTATTGAGTTGCAATGCTAAGATTTTGAAGCTCTCAGCAACTTCTAAATTTTCTCTTAGAAATCTCACCCATGTGAATCTAGAGAAATCATCAACTAACAGAAAGATATACTTCCTGCCAGCAATGCTTTCGGTTTGAATATGCCCCATCAAATCCATGTGAATCAGCTCAAGAACTTTCTTAGTTCGAATCTTACCAAGTGCCTTATGTTGAACTTTAATCTGTTTTTCCTTACTGCATGCTTCACAAACTGTGTCAGATGGTGATTTCAACTTAGGTATCCCTCTCACAATTTCTGCCTTGACAATTTTACTAACTCCATGCACACTCAAATGTCCAAGTCTTCGATGCCACATATCAAGTTGAGACTCCTTTTCTAACAGACATTGGCTGGATTTTCTCCACATATAACAGTTGTTACCAGACCTAATTCCATACAGGACAATATTTTCTTTGTCATCAATTGCATGACAATCTACCCGTGTAAAAACAACCTTGAGACTTTCGTCGCACAGCTGACTTATGCTAATCAAGTTTGCCATGAGACCTCCAACAAAGTATACATTAACCAACTGAGGCTTGCTCTCTTTATTGATGTTTCCTACACCCTTAATTTTACCTTGGCCGCCATCTCCAAAATGAACTTTTCCACCTTTGACAGATATGTATGTATCAAGGATATTCTGATATCCAGTCATATGTCTTGAGCAACCACTGTCAAAGTACCAATGATTTAGGTCTTGTGTATCAGTAGAAATATAGGCAACGTTGCTCACTTATGATCTATAGCGAGCTGGGACACTTGTGTGAAGTTGCAGACCAGTTCATCAATCAGAGTCGAGTCTTCTGCAGTCTCCTCACATGTTTTTTCCTTAGCAATCCAGAACTTTCTGAGACAGGATGGTTCAGGAAAGCACTGAAATGTGTTTAAACATTGAAGTGATCCTCTTTTAATAGTATGGATGTGTGTAACACACTTTTCAAATGTTCACAACTAATATTTATTTACAGGCAAAGAGAAAAAATGGAATTTGTATTTTATTTTTGATTTATCTCACAAATTCTCCCAAATATTTTCTTGTAAAGAATCTTTTTAGTACAGGCTAGTTAATGGATCAAAAGCGCATTAAGTTCACTTGATTAAGGCTCCGATTGGTAACACAATAAAACCGTGGAATGACGGAAAAAATTAAACTGCGAAATGGCGGAATGCAGAATAGCAGAATAATTACTTTTGATATGATTGAATATGAATGGTGAAATGACAGAAAATATATAAAATTAATTTTTCATAATAATATATTATATATAATTTGATATAATAAAAATTAAAATATTAATTACTATAAAAAACATAATTTTAATATAACTAAAAAAAATTAAAACTTTTATTGTAATTATTTATTTTTATTTTTATTTACTATAAAGTATATAAATATATTGTAAAATTTAATCTACAGATATAATCTGATCACTATATAAATATATATTATATTTAATTAAATAATAAAATATAATTAATTATATAATTGAATGATATAAAATATTGATTCTGTAAATAAGCTACTTGAAACACACTTTTCCACTTAATCAAATTTTCTTTGTATTTTTTTGTAAGTATTTCCACCATTATACAAAACTCGAATTTTAACATTATTCTCCAAATTTTTTTGATTGGCAAAATTCTTGCAGAATTGCGATTTTCGGCCATTACACCATTTCATGAAGTATATGGTGTTCATAAATAACACGATACGCTGCGTAGCATTGGATTATTGTTTCTTTACTCTTGGGCGGATGAATAAAATAGCGTTCCTTTTGAATCTCACAGATCTATCGCCATTGTTGCTTTCTTCAGTCCTTGCTTCCGCAAACTCGCGTTAAGTAGGTAAAAAAACCTCTGTTGAAATCTCCGAAAGCTTTTCAAATTCTCGTTTCTTTCTTCTCATATCTTCGTTAGCTTACCAGAAATTCTTGAAATAAGCTTTGGAGTTTTCAGATTTGTTGTTTCCGAAGTCTTCGTGTCGTTTCATCTCCCCCTTCTAAAAATTTTCATAAATTTCTCAACTTTTTTGCTAAGTTAGTATTCCTTTACGTTTCGAATCGTGTAGATTAAGCGCAAGTCACTGTTTTTTCCACAAATTTTCTGGGAATTGAATAATCGTGAAGTAGAATATGTTTAAGTTGATAATGGCTTTAGGTTTCGAGAATTTTCCCTAGGGTTTATATCTTTCAATTTGTGCTTCAGTTTCAGAATGAAGAGATTAGGAGCTGCCCACTGTTCTTGTAAAGTATTGAACCCTAATTTTGTTTCACAAATTGGCCGGAGATTAATCTTGAAGGGATATAGCATTAGTTATTGGGACTTCTTTTTTTTTTGGGCATCAGTTATTGGGACTTCAAGTTTTATTTACCTCTTATTGGATTTTGGGGTAATCAAAACGATCTGGAATTGAATAAAAAGCTTAAGACTTTTTGCTCTAGGAGCTGAAATTTGTAGATTGAGAATTGTTTTCGACTTTGTATTAATCAAATGTTGAGTCTTTGCTTTAGGATCTAAATCTTGTGTGCCTTTGTTTTAGAGATATGATTGTTTTGGTCTTGAAGTAGTGTTTGTGTGTCTTTGTATTCCATATAATTTCGTTCTCGCATTACTGATACTGTCTTTTCTTATTATAACAGGGTATGTTTATGGGTGTTTAGTGAAATTGTTTTTAGGGTAAAAGCTCTCAGTTTTGTTGAAAAAATGGAAGCTGAGGATGTGCTTGACCTACCAGCCTTAGGCAATTCTGGTTTGGAAGTACAGAAAAATGGCCTTGAATCTGGGAATAGGTCACCTGAGGCTAATCATTTAGTTGGTATCGAGGAGAACGTGATAAGAAATTTAGATACGGAGAGAGATTTGGATATAATGGAAGAGAGTTTGAGAGCTGTAACAGAGCAGGTTAGTGACGTTTTCAATGCGAGTGTTGAAAGTGTGTCGGTAGACGAGAAAGTTTGTATCCAAAAGGAGACAATAGTTCACTGCGCTACTTTGGATGTTAGTTGTATCCTTCTTTTGCTCTTTCTATGTTGAAGGTTTCTTGCATTTTCTGACCTTTTTGATCTGATAAGACATGGCACTTGATATGTCTCTGTAATTATCTGCTACTCAGACTCGATGTCTGTGATTATGGATGTTTTTCTGTTTTTCCTTTACTCCATAATGACAGCTAAATCGGGTGTTAAAAGACCAAGAACAACGTGTGACGAACAGCAACCTACAGTCCATGTTACTTATCAGCACTTAACGAGGTTAGACTTAGAAAAGAGTCTTATTTATGAAAAGTACCATGTGATTTCAAGTTGCATGAAGTGATGTTTACTTATGAACATTGAAATTGGAATGCTCAAGCCATGGCTATTATTATGTGATTCCCTGCTTTGCCATTGTTTTAATTTTTAATGGATTGCATCTTTCAGAGCTAGTAAGCAGAAGCTGGAAAGTTTATTACAGCAATGGTCAGAATGGGAGGCAGAATATACTTCAGTGGCTCAGGTCATTTTAGGCTCTTCTAAAATTTAATTTTGTAGTCAATATAATAGTGAATGTTATCATTTTTCACCATTTGATCAATTAAGATTATGGTTAAGAGAATCCTTAAGCCGAGGAAGTGTGCAAGAATATAAAGTATCATCATTTATGCTGTGGACCTACAACTTGCTTTCCTTGTATTAGATTAGGGCTTACTTAGCCATATTAGTATTGCGGAATCAACTACTTGGTGCATGTAAAACAGAGCTTACACTTACTAAGGCATGCTTATCATAGTCCATAATATAGTCTTTGAGCAATTCAGCTACAATCATTCAGTTGGAGATGACTAGAATTCAGACTTCATCTGGGGCATTTGTTAGTTGACTCGGTTTTTTAATAAGGTAGAATCTTTTCATTGGTTATATGCTCAGGATCAAAAACAACCATTAGAATCTGGTGAAGAGACGTTTTTTCCGGCCTTACGTGTTGGATTGCAGAAGACTTCGTCTGTGGTGAGTGAAAATGTTGTCAACGTTATGAATTATCGATAGTGTATATGACATGTTAACTGGTGTATTCTTGCATATGCAGTCTTTCTGGATCGATAACCAAACTGGTCCTAAGCCGTTGGAAGAGTTTGTTCTAGTGGAAAGTAGCACCACCCCTCTTTATGACCGTAAATTTTCACTCGGTCAGAATTCAGCAGATGGATCAAATAACTTGGAAGGGTAAATTGAATCTGGATTTGTAAATAAATTTCCTACTGTTTCTAGTTTTATCTTCCACAGATCTTGATGCTTTCTTTATTCTCCTTTGTTTACATTATATTGAATGTGTTAATGATATTTCAACGGGTGCTTTCTTGTGACATTCCATGTCTCTTTATTGTTCCAGGGGGTTGGAGATTATTGATGATCCTCCACGTTGCTTCAATTGTGGCGGCTATAGCCATTCTTTGAGAGAATGTCCAAAGCCTTTTGATCGATCAGCGGTTAATAGTGCCCGGAAGCTTCAGAAATCCAAACGAAATCAGAACAGTGGATCTCGTCTACCTTCGCGGTATTATCAAAAACTTCAAACTGGGAAGTACGATGGCTTGAAACCCGGCACACTTGATGCAGAGACACGTCAACTTCTGAATCTTGGGGTAATCTTGAACATTCTTTTCTTCTTTGTATATAGTTCTGCTGATTTCCAGATTTCTTAGATCAGTAAAGTGAGTGTTCTAATTATATATCATTTCCTCTCCTGTGTGAAGGAACTAGACCCTCCTCCATGGCTTAACCGGATGCGAGAGATTGGATACCCTCCGGGTTACTTAGGTAAGCTTTTCTGCTCTGTTCTATTATCGTCCACGTGAAAGAAGTGGATTCTCACGCCTTATATAATGTCTGCTTCTTCACGTCTCTAGCTCCAGAAGATGATCATTTGTCTGGAATCACTATATTTGGAGAAGAGGAAGAGGAGGAGAGTCGTGAGGAACTAGAGAGTGAGGACGGGGAGATATTGGAGAAAGGAACCCCTCCAGAGCCACAGATGAAAATGACAGTGGAGTTCCCAGGAATCAACGCTCCATTACCGGAAAACGCAGATGACTGGCTTTGGGAAGCCGCACCTTCATATAGGAGCAGCAGAAGCAACAACAGATCATGGCATCAGAAAAGAACAAGCAGAGGACATGATTATAGAGACGATGATCAGCTCGGTTTTGAATCATCGAGTTATCCACCGAGGTATGGTAGTAGAATTAATTATGGGTATGGCTCGAAAGATTATCGTTCTAGATCAAGAAGCCCAGGCATCGAAAGAAGTAAGAAGGATTATTCTTATGATCCTGATTTTCGAGACAGAGACAGGGGCAGAAACAGAGATAGGAACAGGGACTGGGATAGGGACAGGGACATAGATAGGGATAGGGATAGGGACAGAGACTGGGAACGGGACAGAGACTTGGATAGGGACTGGGACAGGGATGATCGTGACTGGTCTAATAGGTTAAGCAGCAGAAGATGAATGTGTGAGATTGTAGTTGTGTATGTGTTGTGATGTTAGAGGTTTAGGGTTTCATTTTCTACTCTCTTTCCATCTTTGTCTCCGTAAGTTGGATCTGTTTGTTGTATCATGTCCATAAAAGTGGAAGCTTTTTTGTTGTTCAGGCTTTGGATTTTATACGTTTAGATTTAGTTTGGGAGAAGATATTATGAGACTTGTATGAATGGCTTTTTTTTGTTTCCTCATGGAAATGTTTTTATCATATTTTGGATGTCTTAACATACTAAATCGGTGTATTCATCAATTGTGTGAAATGGTAGAAAAATTGATACAAAATAGGTTAGGTAATTTCCACTAATGTTTAGAATTGGATCGTTTTTTTAATTGTGTCAAAAATATTAAACGTTTTTTAATAATAGGGTTCGCTAACCGATCACATATACAATATTAATACCGTTGATGATTATTAACGACCATCCATATTCCATTACATTGTATAATTGTTGTTATTAATGTCAATGTCAACCATCATCAATCATCGTCTCCTTTCTTGCACTTGCTACTCTTCTCAATAATCTAATTGTACACTGCAAGACAAACAAACTATATCTTAGGATATAGCCTTTGATTTATATTATTAAATTAAGTTTCTTTCTTTCAGAAGTTATTGTGTTCTGCAAGTTCAATAACAAAAACAACGACGCAAAGTGGCATCTTGTATGCTTAATGCCGCGACAAGATTATTGAACTCTAAAGTTTACAACAACAACAAACAACTATAAAATTCTCTCGATATAACATTTTTCTTAGAAGGAATTTATTAAAAGCGACTTCTTGACCAATTATTTGTTGTCATATTCCAATATATCCTGTATGTTTTTATCAAAAAACAAAAATAATAATAATAAAAGAAGATAATGTTCTTAATTTGATTGACACAGCTCAAACAAGTTGACTTTAGAAGATTAAATCTTTTGTTTGTATTTGTTTTGATAAAAATCATTACTGTTTATTTTTGTTATGTTAACATAAATATAAGGAAATTATTAGTTCACTACAAGAAATGAGAAACATAGTTACAGAATATTTTGTAACTATGTTAACAAATCTGTAGCTATTTCTCGATTGCTACAAATTAGTTTCAATTTTATTTTCGTAACTATGCGATTGTAGCAAATAGAACATTGTAACAAATTGAAGCAAATATGCTACAAATTGGAGACAAAATAATATCGTGACAATTTGAATCAAATTTGCTACAATTTTTTTTGTGATAAATTAACTACAATTTTGTAATAAACATATCGTGGCTATTTGTTAGAAATACCACTAACTGGTTGTAGCAAAAATCACTACAAATGTCCACACAAAAAATGTAGCAACTTGTTACAACTATACACAGATTAAATGTAATAGAATAATTACAATTACCTTCAAATATACTGTAATAAATAGCAACAAAGATCTACAAAGTTAGTCGTCACTATTTGCGACAGAAATCTGTAAACTTGTTGTGACTTATTACAGATAAATAGGTACAGAAATTGCCATAATTTTTTGCTTTAGAAACTCATACTATACTAAAAAAATAAAAAAATTAAAATTTATACAATATTACAATAGATATTAAACATAGATTACATTAGATATTAAACATAGATTACATAGATTGCAAGGAGAGAAGATTAAGAGTTACAAAAGATACAAAGGAATTAATCTTTGAAATGTTAAACATTGTTAACAAATCAAACAAAAAAAGTTTTTTAGTTAAGAGCATATAACCATATTTAACATATTTAACAAGATGAAGTTGAAACACATAACCATGCCGCACCGCCATCACCATCCTGGGTATCGAAACCATCATCTTCACCATCGTTCTGATTCGGAGGGACAAGCTCATCTGTAGCCATGTGGTCATCCTCTGCAATTCCTGCGAAAGCCCCAGCAAAGCTCTCACTAGTGACTGAACAAGACTAGTTTCAGAGGGCAGCATGTACTTCTTCATATGCTCCGTCACAGACGATACACAGCTGATTTATGTGCCTTTTCCCAATAGAAGGCTTGCTGCAAATAAAACAAAAAAGCTTCAGACAAAAATTACAAAGATTGAAAGATAAAAATGTATATGAATTAGGAATTAAAGCGTGATAAACAACTTACAATAAATTCTCCCCACCATTGCTTAATGGCATAGACATTTTTTGCGATTCCGCAAGAGGGATGGAGAAGGCTGAAGAGAGAAATGAGGAGGGAGGAGGGAGGAGGGAGGAGGGAGGAGGCTGAAGGGAGAAGGATGAGGGAGGAGTCGACGATGAAGATATAAGCAGGCGAAACTGATCCAGAAAATTATTTACAACTAGAAAGAAGACAAAAGATTTGGAAGAGAGAGATTGCATAGATTTCATCTTTGGTTAGAGATAGGAAGAGGAAAAGTTATACTTTTAACCCATTAATTAGATTTGTTGAAGATTTTATGGAAACGAAGTGGGTAGATACAGCAAAATCTTTACCCATCAATCTTTTACTTAGTGGGTGAAAGGCTCGATGAAAAAGCTAGTGAAAGATGTGGGATTTAAGATGTGATGCACGTGGCTTTTATTGTTGAGATTTGGATCAGAGTTTTTACTAGTATATAAATATATATATATATATATATGGGGCATATCTTATTATTTTTGTAAATGAAACTAAATAATTAGATTTCTAGTAAAGCAGGTTTAGTAAACAATAAAAAGTAAAATTCATACAGCTTAAAAAAATAAAGATAAATAACAAGAATAGTTCAAACTATATCGAGAATCAAATAATATACATTTATATATATATATTTTAATTTTTTTAGTTTTGTGTGCGTTTTATAATAAATCTATAATTACTATAATAATTATTACATAATTTTTGAAACTAATTTAATTTTAAAATTATGTTACACTTGTAAAAAACGCATTACATAGTATATATACTGATAGGAAAATAATAGGAAAAAGTTAAATAATATTTGTAGGTAAGTGGGAGGAATTAATTTTTTAATGGATTATTTCATAAGAAATTGGTCAGTACTTTTCCACCAATTTCCTACCAATATTTCTGACGTATTTTCCTACGAGTTATCTACCACATTCGATTTAGAATAAAAAATAAAACATAACATATTTTCATAGAAAATTGATAGAAAACAGTATGAATGCGCATTTTATCCAGATCCAAAAATTCAATCTAAAAATATCCAACCCAAATATATTTGAATCATTCACAATACTCGATTGGATATAATTGTTGGTGACTTCTGGGTACCCGGTAATATCCGGATCCGATCTGATATTCAAAAAATTATCTGAAATATCTGATTTTCTAAATTTTCTTTGTGATTCTTACCTCTTTAGATTAACCAATAAGAAATCAGTTTTCTTTTTTTTTTCTTTACGTCATAGTTTTTTTTGTTTGTTATCAGAATTGTTTGGTAGAAAATCAGTCATAATATTTTTACCTACGAATATAATTTGGTAGAAAATCGGTCATAATATTTTTACCTACGAATATAATTTGGTAGGAAATCGGTCATAATATTTTTACGATTTTCCTACCTATTTGATGGTCAATTTTTTTAAATTATTTTTTTTATCATTTTTTGACCAAAATTTTGATGAATATAAGTTTAATAAGAATGTGGTAGAAAATATCTGATCACTTTTTGACCACTTTGGTTCATAGTAATTTTTTAACGGATTTTTTACTATTTCAAATTTTCGTCATAATTTCATAGATAATTAGTAATAATTTTTTCCTACCAAAATTTTGGTAAAAATTTTAGTAGGAATTTGTTATGTTTTCTTGTAGTGTATGATATAGGGTTTGCATTTTGGATTTAATGTTTGATTTTAGGGTTTAGGATTTGATTTTAGGGTTTATGATTTGATTTTAGGTTTTAGGGTTTGCAGTTTTTAGTTAAAGGTTTAAATTTTGGTACATATGTGTTTTATATTTATTGTATAGGATGTAGGATTTGAGTTTAGGATTTATACTTTGCATATTTGGGTTTAGGGTTTAGATTTTGGATTTGGGTTTGAGTTTTATATGGTTTGTATTTTTAGATTTAGAGTTTGTATTTCTAATCTTAAAAATATAATGTTTAGTTATATTTTAATATGAAACTTAATCTTCTGATTGTTTGATTTGAAAGTTTACTAATTTTGTAATAAATTCTGTTTCAATATAATCAGTTATAAACAATATATTTTGCTACAAAGAGAAATAGTAGCAATTTGCCACTATTTTATTTTAAAAACTTTTAAATTTAATGGTTATGTTACAACAATTCGATTGTAACATTTTATTACAATTTTACTACAAATTTGTTGTGTTAAATATTGTTGCAACCATCATGTGACAAAATTGTAGCAAATATGTAACAACTCCAAAGTTGTCTCTAATCTGTCTCAATTTAGTTATGAATTTCTACTATTTTGTCACGAAAATAATTTTTTGGAAACGTCACAAATTTTTGCAACAATTTGCTGTCGTAGCAAAATCTGTAACTATATTACTCAATTCTTGTAGTGGAGTGCATTAAAAGAAAGAACAATCGAAACCCTTGGTATTATGAGGCTATCTCAACCTTATTTATTCTTTGCCCACTTCAAGTAGCAGCCTTGATTTTAATTAATTTATCTTTGTCTAGGTTTTAATAAAATATGTTCACTTTCAAACATTTTTAAACCTTACCACACCTCCCAAATACAAGATATAGTCTCATAAATAATAAAGTTTGAAAAGTTTGGACGTGGTTAACCCATACTTAAAGAATTTAGTGAATTGACTTCCACAGTTCCTTCTTCTTATATGCTTTCTCTAACTATCTTCTAAAATCTTTTAAGATATGGTATCCTATGGTTAAGTTATTTGTATGCTTTTGCATCTGTTTCTCAAAATACTTTCTTGAACTCTATGATTATAAAAGTCATATCCTTGTCACTGTTTTTTCGTTGCAATTTAATAGAAAGCACTTTTTCAAAAAAAAAATATTAATAATAATAAAGTTTGAATAGTTTGTTACACAAATGTTACAAACATAGCTTATGGGTTGCATGTTCAGAAACGAAGTTAAAACAACAAACAATATACTCAAACGCGATTTTTAAATCGCATTTAAAGAGTCTAAGTCAGCCTTTTTACCTCGGCTTGACAGAATATGTTTTTATTATTTGCCCACAGCCAAAAAGAAAAAAAGAAAACATCACTCCTCCTCAGAATCAGTGGTATCATCATCTGTTGCCGATTCAGGATCAATGGTATTTGCTGCAAACTCAGGATCATAGATAACCATTGCCGACTCA